ATCTTTATTTTTATTTTCTTTGATTTATTTTATTACTTCTTCAAACTGTCTTTCTGGTTTTACTTTATTATTATTATATTTTTGTTGTTATATAAATATTACTACATTTTTCTTATGACTTTTCTCACCCAATGATTGAACCCATATATAATAGATCATTCCTGTATAATGAGAGATAAGATAATTTGTAAATAATTCTTTTGGTGTAAAGTGTTGCGCCCAAAGCTAATTTGTTGAACATAAATATCAATCTCCCAATTTTGGGCTTAACATTTTGGTGTCGATTGTGTAGATTAAGCAAAAACTGAGGATGTACTGTGTTTAAAAAAATAAAAAAAGCATGCTAAATCTGGAAAATAATAATAAAATAGTTAAAGAAAATAAAAGCCCTTGCAAAAGAAATAATAGTTTAGTAAATAGTCAACTGCAGCAATTATTGCAAACCATGACGAATGTTCTAGTATAATCTCAGAATCCTCAAGTGAGTTTTAAGGAAATGAATTAAGTGAATATCACTACGTTCACAAGATAAAGCCAAGATCCAGTAGGGTAGTTGGAATTGGTAGACAGAGCCTTTGAGGCTAATAATACTGTGGGAGCAAAAATATTGTCTGTAGTCAGTGTTTACTTGTCTGGTCTTGCCACTTTCTAGTAGAAAAATTGTAGAAAACAAAGTTTCAAATTTTATCTTGGAGTAATGAACAAGTCCAAAACAAAATTTTGTACAATAATTCTGCCAAAGATTTTGCACCCAAACATTAATATAACAATGGAATGCGAAGTTGCTAACCCATTATCAAGGTCTTAAGAAACTGTAGAGCAGTATACCACAGATATGTTAATGCTGTTTTACCAATTAAAAAGAGTAGGAAATCATTATCTCTAGACTGTAAAAGTATAAATATTTGTGCAATATCTTCACCTTGATTTGTTTTTGGCTATTGGGGCTTTATATCAAATATGCTTAAAGAAGCTATTGAAAAAACTCAAACTTGTAAAATAACTTTTGCCTGAAAAAATATTATATATAGTTTTGCTGTATCATATAATTTAATATTGTATTCAACAATCTTGACATTGCTACTATCATTCTGAATAATATATTTTGTAATCTAGCTTAATATATTCTATAGCCTAGCAAACCATACTGACACAGCCTTTAAATAATCTGATAGAGCAAGTTTGGCTCTACTACAAGATGTAGTTACAACAATGAGTAATAATAATATTAACAATAGCTATCTCTATTACTCATTAAATAAAATATGGTATGAAAAGACAAACTAATCATCTGTGTGCTTCATCAATCAATAAGCAGGATACATTACTTATAAGTGTTTAAATAATAGATATGTCAATAATTATTCAATTCAAGACCAAGATAATAACTCCACTAATAACAAAAAGATTATAAAAAAAATCCTGATAGTACAAACAATATTATCTCAAACCCAAAACACTTTTGAATATTTGATATTTAGTTACTATCAAAAATCTGCTAAGTTGGACAACACTAATAAAATATACAAATCTAGAAATCAGCATAAAATAAGGTCAGTGTTAAAAAAAATAAAGCATTTAAACAGTATTTGAATGGTGATAGTTTGAATAAACAACCTAGTAGTAAAAGTTATAATAATGAGATGGATGATAATAATAGAATGTATAAGTATAGCTATTATCTTGAGAATGAAAATCAGATAAATATTAGTATAGAGTAAGCAAAATATTCAAGTATTGTTACAAATCTGCTGATAAGAATAAAACTAGTACAACTAATATTAAGAAAGATAAAAATCAGAAGCTTGCTATAAATAGCTAAAACTTGTCTGAATAGCATTTGGACTCTAATAAAAGTGATGATTATAAATCTATAAGAGCCTATGATTTGGATGAATGTATTGACTCTAAAAATTGTGTTTGGAATAAAACTAGTAATATAAAGTCTAGTAAAAATATTGGTCTTGAATATTATAATAAAAATAGAATTGATGTGAAAAAAGATAAGCCCAAAGTGTAAAAGTAGAGTATAAAGTATACTGAAAGAGAAGGATCAACAAAAAATAATAATAATAAAGTAAAACCAGAAAGACAGTTTGAAGAAGTAATAAAATAAATCAAAGAAAATAAAAATAAAGAT